CTGTCGTACTTGCTACAGAGGCCACTGGTAAGGATTGTCCGTGAGGCACAAAGACTTGCCATCCGTAACTGTAAGTGCACGCAGCACGACATGAAGACAGCGGTCAAGCTAGTATTGTCACGGACTCTTGCAGAAAGTTGCATCAACTCGGCCAAGAAGGCAGTGTCGAGATATGTGATGACGGGACAGGAGGGTTTTCGCGTCAGCAAGCGTACGCGAGCAGGGGTGATCTTCAGCGTCGGGCGAATGTACCGATGGCTGATGGACGTTGGGGTGAGCCCACGCCTCCAGGACAATGCAGCAGTATATCTGGTCGGAGTGATGGAGAAACTGCTGGATGAGATTTTCCTGCGAGCTGTGTGCATGCACGTGATGGGACGGGATGACGAGATGTCGGTGAGCGTGGAGCTGTTGGAGTATGGGATAGCGAACGACCCCGACCTGTGGGGCATCCTGCAGCCCTTTGAGCACCTCATCTGTGGACGGGATGCAAATGGTAGGTGATCATCTTTTGTTGGCCAATTTCTCTGTTCTTTTTACATACATTTTGTATAGTAACTGTTGTACGTTCCATATAAGAGGTAAAGTTTCTAATTGAACTGTTGATAAGTAACATTAACACTTCCAGCTGGCAATGCCTGAGCCTGAGCCAGCTTTTGGGGGTGCTGTCCTTGTCATTGACTTACCTAGTGATATCATTGCCAGAGCCCTTGTTGTTATATGACAACTGTGTTTAATGTATTATGGTCTTATTGTAATCTGTCAGTAGCTCCAGTTCAGCTCCAGGTGTTCTATGTTGTAAGGAAAGGTTCTTGTCCTGTCCCAGTTCAGAAGCATTCCTGTGGTACTGTGAATCATTTGTGCGTAGGTGAAGGTTGGTGTCTGGTGACATCTCTGTCATTGATACCTTAAGAAGCTAGATTTTTCAGTCATGACTTGAACAATTGCCATTGACTTTGAAACCTGAGATGGAAATTGAAGTTTAGCCTGGGTTTACCAAAAGAAGGTTTCTGAGCCTTCAGGCACCAAATTTGCATTTGGTACAAGCATTGTGCGTTGTATATGCTATTGAATTTGGAAGGACTAGCGGAAAAAGGGTACATGGACAAAATAGTAACAGTTTGAACTAAGGAGAAAGACAATCCTCACCTTTTTGGTTGAACATCAAGAGATGCCGACTAGGTCATTGACGAAGTAACAGAAGAGCAAGGGCCTTGGAAATTTCGCATGTTAGGATCTACTGCCTAGATGGTGTTTTATTCAGTTTCGCAAAGAAAGTGTTTGTTTAGCTCTCCCTGTAATTCCATTGTGATGTCCAGGGCAGTCCAACTGGCTCCAGTAAGTAAAGCAGGAGACGCCTGTCTCCCACCCAAGGCATGAGACCATGTTAGTGTAATCTCCCTTCAATAGAATTAGGCCAGAAAATTGGCTGACAAAAGCGTCCAACACACAAGAACCAGATTACCTACAGT